CAGTGCTCGCTCACCACCAAGAGGCATTCCACCATCCCACTCCCACTTGCTGCTTGGCCCGAAGTGCGGTGAAATCAGCCCTCCCTACCCAGACAGAGCACAGGACAATAGCTGAAGTACAGCCTTCTTCTCTGTAAATGTCAGCACTGGAATTTCAAACCTCTGAGAGCTTAGAAAAGACATTTGGCAAATGTTTATTTTCTTTGAATCCACATTCTCTCCCTGCTCTGCCTCAGAGATGTGTCTCTGCTGTTCAGATTCCAAAGATGCATCTTTGCTCATTACACAGTGCAAACCTTACTGTGGGCATTATTGGTGAAGTCACATTGCTAGTCAAGCACAAGTTAAAATACCCTTTTTTTTCCCCCCAGTATACACACAGAAAACCATTAAGTGCTTCAACACATTTTTGCAGTTAAAGCCAACAAAGCCTCTGTCAGGAGAAGGGGGTCCTGCTGAAATCGGTACTGGGACACACTGTTGTGATTGGAACTGGTAAATGTGCAACGTAAGAAATAGCAAAAGGAAATATTTAGAATCAAGAGATGCCAAAACTGCAATCAGCAAATGAAAGGCTAAAACTGATGAGTAGATCTGGATGCTTTCTCTATTATTTATTTTTATTATTTAAGCTGTGCTATGCAACCCCTTTGTTACAAGAAATGCTCGGTAACCACTCACTGCAGTGTGTGGTGCAGCTTTCCACCACATCAGCTTGGAAAACCCAGGGTTTTACATCGAATGGGATTGCTGTGACATCAGTTACATGCCAGAGAATAGAATTATGGTGTTTGTGGAAATGGAAATATTGCCACCAAGAATGCTTGCCTCAAAACTGACGAGCACTAAAAGCGCCCAAAGGAACGTGAGAATGAAGTGACTGTACAGAGCTGCAAGAGTTTGTGGATTTCCCCAAATGACCAAACCCGCTACTGACAGCAAGGTGATGCTGCAAGGGCAGGGCCTGCAGAGCCAGAGTGACAGCAGGGTCAAGGTGTGCATGGGCAGTGCGGCAGGTGGCTGCCAGGGAGAGCTCAGGGATGTCATTGCCAAACTCACACACACGCATCAGCAAAAGCCACTGAAAGCAATGTGTCACTTGCTGCCAGGAAAGCAGGAAGACAACAGGTGAAAGCCTGAGAAGCAGAACAGGCAGCACACATCTAGCTCCCTGAAGGACCCCAGGCAGTCGGATGTGTTGACGGCATGAAATGTTTCTATTTAGGAACAGAAAACACAAAAGAACTGCTTCATAAATTATTCTGTTTTGGAGGAAGAGCGAACAGACTTGAAGGACAGGTGATGTCTCTGAAATATGTAAATGGCACTGAGCTGGTCCAAGCAATTACCTTTTCATTGCCTGGAACTTCAGACTAAAAGGAATGACTCACAAGAAAGAACAAGAAACAAAAGATGTGCTAAAAGGTAGAAGATGACGAAGGTAGATGGCATCGAGAGGAGAATAGAGACAAGCATGGAAGAGTTGAGTCCTGGCCTCTGAATAGCTGCTCTTGGGAAAAAGAGCAAAGCAACCTACAGCATGGCACATCAGAAGACCATGCCAACGTGGGGGAGCTAGCTGCAAAAGCATCCAGAAAGGCAACTGTGATGACTAGTTCTAGACTTGTGAGTTCAAGAGAAATATAGCAGCTCTATGTAAGTAAAGATCACAGATTTCACCTACTTTACTGTATTTGCTATTTTAAAGCTTTCCTAGCAAAGAGAATTGCTGAAAATAATGCGGTCTGATTATTTATTGCTGTTAAAGAAAACTCCAGGCGTGAATGTATCAGACAGCCTGATAGTGGGAAGGGTGAAGGCAAAACTAAAATGCACTGGAAACATCCACGGAGATGAGCCAGCAGCTGTGCAACTGATGTGAAAAGCAGCATCTGGGCCTCACAGACCAAGATATAGCTGTGGCTGCCATATCTCCACATGCAGTCCTCTCCTAATCATCTGCAGGTACTCCAAGCTCTGGGTAGGAAGGGAAAGGATAAAGTCGGATTTTGGTTATTGGTGGTATTTCCAGTGCTCTGCACACAAATTCGGGATGCTCTTTCTGCATCAGCAAGCATTCACTTCATTTTTTTCCATCAAAACCAAAGAAAGATTACTAAATTATAGCAATTACAGTCTGATGCTGAAAATGTACTAATACACAACCTGCAAGGTCAATGTGAAAGAATGAATCAAGGAAAGGATCAAGAAAAGTGAACAGAGAAGTGGATCTATAGAGGCTGCATAAGAAATATTGTGTACATTTAGTGCCACTCTTTTCATTAAGAAAAATACTGACAGCCCAAAGGCTGCAGAATAGCAATAAATATAAATCTGCTGGGGGGTGTGTGTGGAAATTAAGAAAAGTTTCCAAGTTTTAAATTTTGTGTACTTAGTGCTAAAAGATTAAGACATTATATACCCTTTGGGAATATAGGAAATGGGGGAGAGAGGGGACTGAAATAACACAAGAAATTTGTAAACCATATAATGAGATATGCAGCATCCCTGTACTCTGACTACTATTTATGATCCTCTAACAGAAATGCTAAGTCACAGCCTGAAGCAGTAATTGAGCACCTGGTGGGAAGGCAGGGCCAACCTGGGGAGCTCAGGTGTGTGCAATGAACCTGAGTGACCAGAAGGGGTGGAGCCAGGATCCATTCCTTTCCAGTCCTCATTTAAGGGTTGGCAGTGGAGGTGAGGGTACCTCTTGCTGGAGTTCTATGCATATGTGGGTTCTTCTGAAGGTAAGTAGCTTTCTTCCTTCACTTTTGGGTCTGCTGTGTTTGGGTTCATTCACTTTTGCTATAGCCAAAGACTTTTCCACCCTACTGTTGTTGTGGTACTTTCCACCACAGTTCCACAGGTAATTTGGAAGCTCAACTTTTTGCATTTGTACCAAGCTCTATATACCATTTTATTCAAGTAATGGGAGCATTTTATTTGTAATCTACTGAGCACAAGAAAAACTGAAGAGAGCTCAGCAGGTGAGTATGTAAAGGAGACAGTGATAGCGATGAAGAACTTTGTGATGTTCTCACAGATCTTTCTTATAAATCCAATTTGAAGTTGGAAAACAGCTATTATCCTACCACCATGCCCTGATGCGTACAACTCCATCATTTGGAAGAACAGAGCTCCCTCTTGTGGATCCTGAATGTGGATGCGGCAGGAAAAAACAGTGAGAGACTGAAGGATGAGAAGACTCCTCGTGGGATTTTAGCTGTACAAAAATGGAATTTAAATGCAAATACAGTAGGGAGGAAAGGTGAATTCTCTTAAATAAAGTACTGTTGCCTGTACTTGAATGCTGATTCTGAAATCGCATTCTCTGATCTTCTAACTTCCTCTGTTAGCTCTTACTGCAGCCAAGCAGACTACTTCCATGGAAAGCTCTCAGACCTCTTAACAGGTTTCTAGCTCAGTCACAGGTGAGGGGTAAGGAAAACAGAATAAGGACTACAGTGGTGAAGGCACAGTGGCACACGCTGGAGCTGTATGAATAAGAAAACCACTGGTGTCAGGAAGCCAAGAAATACACACCTGATTATGAGAGCAAGAGGCTTATGTACTGAAATACTGCAACAGCAAGAATTTGAAGAGAGAAAATAATACTTCTTAAAACTATCAGGAGGCCTTAGCCCTGCCATTAGCAGAGAAGCTTCTGCTCAAGCCCTAGCACTGCTCTTTTCTCCTGCAAACTTCCTGCATCAACTATTTAAAACCACAGGAGGATGGAGCCACACACCAGTGAGCAAATTCCTGTGCGATAGCATTACTCTCCACTGCATGGATTCTGCTGAGTCCTGCGCATAGGGGTATGTGAAAGAAGAGCTCTCACCTCCATTCATTCCCCTCTTGAAGGGAGGAGCATCACTGCAGACAGCCCCTTGTTTGCTGGATGAGTTCTTAAAAAGGATTTGAAGACCACCAGGTTATTCCAGTTCTCCTAGCAGAGAGCTTTGTAACCCAAAGGGATACCTATGAAAAAGAGTAGCCCTCTGAAGCAAGGAGGGGAAGCATACCCAAAGCAGAAACTGTCACAGCACTCTTAATGAACCCCAGCTCTGCCTGGTTGTCTCTAAATTACCTCTCTGCTGCAAAAGCAGGATCAAATCCATGGAACAAGAACTGGCAAAGAAGCAGCAATCACTCTTATGAGTTCAGAACAGCACCAGAATATAAGAGGGAATCAAGACCTTGATTCATAGGCTGGTGCTCACACAAGATCCTGCTTCCAGAGTGCAGGACAAAAAAAAGAATCAATTTCCTACCGTGAAAAGAAATTACCATGCTGTCAGCATTTTGCTATTAGTGAAACATCTTCCTTCTATCTCCAGTTAAAAGCAATATTTTTCTAAAGAGCAATCCTCTTTTAAAAAAAAAAAAAAAAAAAATTGTATAGAAATCAGTCTATAAACAGGGAGATATCCTTAAATGCTCAATCAAGTAATAAACCTAGCAGATGAAAGGCAGACTAATTAAAATAACAGTACAATCTCCCTTTAACAAACGCATACAGGACTCAAAAATATGCTTGTTGGAGTACCTAATCATAATCAGATTTGGTAATTTGCTGTATCAAAACAAAAAGGAAACATTTTCAGAATTGATCATTCAGTTCATGTCACTTTTATGGAGATTACTTTCTATTGATCAACATTTAAATAGTAGTTGAAAAGAGAAAGATGAGAAAAGAGTAAGAAGTATCTTTACATGCTAAATACAGCATGAACCGATAAAAGCAGAATAAATTAGATCACTATAGCCAAATCAACCCTGCACATGTGCTCACTGTAATGAAGATAATTACAAATGGAAAAAGATGGTTCTTCATGCTTTGGCCTTCACAAAAGGGGAGTTTTAAAATGAAGTTAGAGCTTAATCTGCTCAGAATGAAGTTTCCTACGCAGCAATTAAGTTCTGCATGAAGCTGAACCACCGTTGGCTTCTGAAGGGAACAAATGCTGGTTTGTTTTCTGAACAGCACTTCCTACCTGTGGATTCCAGTTAGGGTCCAGTTTTTTCACTGTAGCAACGTACTCCTGCATAGCCTGATGAGGACTGGTGTCTCCCAGGGCTTTCCAAGCTTCCCTAGGGCAGAGAGCAATGTATCAGTGAGCCTCCCTGAGACAGCACAGCGTGTTCTTATGGTGTCATCAGTGAACAAACCAAGCAGGTCCATCTACAAGTTTTCAAGGGTTGCAAAGCCACCTCCCATTCAGTTTGAAGTGGTCAACTTCTCAGTGAAGCCATGAACAGCTAGTGCAGGTGCAGCACTTTGCTGGGAAAGCATCTTTCAGGGGGTCTAGATCTAGGTTGGAACGTGTTTTGTGTTCTAACATAGATTCAGCTATCTTGGCTGTTTCTACAATGTTCGCCCTGGAGAAAAGAAGGCTGCAGGGTGACCTCACTGCAGCCTTTCAGTACCTAAAGGGAGCCTACAAACAGGAGGGGAGTCAACACGTTGAAAGGGTAGATAACAGCAGGACAAGGGGAAATGGATTGAAGTTGAGAGAGGGGAGATTTAGGTTGGATGTCAGGGGGAAGTTCTTTACCATGAGAGTGGTGAGGTGCTGGAACAGCTGCCCAGAGAGGCTGTGGATGCCCCGTCCCTGGAGGTATTCAAGGCCAGGTTAGATGGGACCCTGGGCAGCCTGGTCTAGTATGAAATGTGGAGGTTGGTGGCCCTGCATGTGGCAGGGGATTTGTGATCCTTAAGGTCCCTTCCAACCCCAGTCATTCTGTGATTCTCATGGTATGTAGGCCAATTCTGGATGTAGAAAGTAAAGACAGGCTGGGTTTTCACGACCACGTGAGGCAGCGTTAGCTGTAAGCTGTTCAGGTTGAAAATTCTGACTTGACCATGTCTGTTGCATTGCAGGCCTGCAATACCAGTAAGACCAGTATCCCTCTTCTTGCTCAGGAAAAGCTATGTTTTTGTGAAGACACTCCTATATTAAGCAAAAGCCATTCAGTGGCAGGCTCTTACATTTGACATCCTCAAAGTGAGGTCTGTAGCACAACACAGAGCAGAACCAGAAGTCTCTAGGAGTTACGATGATTTCCTCTTACCATTTCTGCTTCCCCTCAAAATCAAAGAAACTTGGCTTTGGAGTGTTACAGGTTCCAAATTTCACCTAAAAAATAAAAATTCTTTATGTTAGAACAAATCAAATGGAACTCTTGAATGGTCTGAGAGGCATCCATCCAGCTGCGTGGGAAGCACCAGCTGCCAGTGAGCTGAGGCCCGAGCAGAAGTGTCTGAGATGAAGCAGTGTGATGGAAGGAAGCCATCAGTGGCAGTACCAAGGCAGGGTTAGCAGATAGGCATTGCTGCAGGACACAGTGTGATCTTGTGCACAGCTTTTGTGGCTCAACTCTTGTTTAAAAACACCAGAACAGACATGGCACCCAAACTAATGCAGATGGACAAGAAATCTTTTATTCAGTGTGAAATGGACTTGGTGCCAGCAGGATTTCTGTGGCCAGCTTTCCATAGAAAGGCACCCCAACATGACAAGCACAAAGCCATTTCTGTCAGCATGGGGTGCAGCTCAATGATCTTTGAGGTCCCTTCCCAGCAAAGCCATCCTGTGATGCTCTGGTCTGGAGGAGGGCAGGGGCTGCTGGCAGAGCAATCTGTGAGCCAAGCAAAACCCAACTGCCTTCACCCTTCTTGTTTAGAAATGAAATATGCCCCAGTGCTCAGGCAGGTGAAGTGCTTAAATCAACCTCACCTTAGCAGGGTGGGGATTTTCTGCTGAGGAAAGAATCATTAATCAGGCTTTAAAGAGAGCGTGCCTACACTGAGAGATATTTATTAGTTACACTATGTTTTCATTTAAAGTGTGAGAGACTGTGACTGAAATTAATTTTCCGTGCATCTGACTGCCTGTGAGCGAGCAGTCCATCCAGATTAGGATCCCAGCTGGCCTGTAAAACAGTGCACTGCATTCCATGGAGGAAGAAGGGAAAGGACAAGCAGCAGTTAAGCCCTGTAAATCAATCACCATTCATTTGTACTGTCAATGTTTTCTCCTGTGCTCAAATATGGTCTGGACCATTTGTTTTATACAACAAAACACGGAAATAAAATGCAAGCTCATCATGTGAGCAGAAAGTGCCTGCCTGGCAGTTCTTTGATTTGGTGTGCAAGCAGGCCAAGTCAGACAAAAAAAAAAATCCCACCTTTTTTAATTGTTTGCTGCCATCATCAAAACAAGAGGGCAGTTTCTTCTCTCTAGATTTGGCATTCAAAGGCTATTCCAGCCCTGGAAAGATTGTTAGTAGCATCAGTAGTAATACAAATCAGGGAACAGTAGTTAAATTTCATCCATCAAAGGAGTAAAAAAAAAAAAAAAAAAAAAAAAAAAGTGCTCCTGTGCCCTGCTTGCTATTTTGAGATATATTAAAAAGGGTTGCAGTGGTTTTGCTGGAGAGAAGAAAATAACACTCTTGGCTTCCCTCACTTTGCTGCAGGACTCCATAATGCGTCAGAAACCAAATGGGAATTCAGCATTGGAGGAGCCTGGATGCTGAGGATGGTGATTTTTACCTAAACATCAACATAAAAACTGGAGAAAAAAAAAAAAGCGTGGTGTAGGACTCGGTCCTGTTGCTTTCAGAGGAAAGCCTCAAAAGCTATTTTTTCTCCCCAGCTAGCAGAAAGATAAGAGCCTGTGTTAGTATTTGAGGGCAGAGTTTCTCGTTCTGGATCCAGAAAATAATTACTGATGGTCTCCAGGGGCTGACTGGTCACTTGGTGCTTAGCTCTCCTCGTTTACAGTTCATCAGCTGCTTGAAAAGCAGTGTGCAGCCAGAATGTATTAAGTGCTTTCCTAGCATTGCTTCTCTGTGCAGCTGACGGCAGGCTCTGCTCCTAAACCGCTGAGAAGCAGCTCTGAACTGCCTGCATTTGTGGCCAGCGTGGCAATTCAGAAGCTCTGGGAGAAGCCTTCACCTGATGGCTGGAGGTGACAGCACTTAGAAGAGTGCCTGCATAGACAGATGCTCAGAGCTGTGCTCTGTTAAACTGGTTGTCAATGGGCCATAAGGGAATCTAAGGAAATATCACGCAAGGATGCTAACCTGCGGACTGAGGACAGCAGGTCCCTGCTTTGCTCACAGTCATGCTGCTAACTCTGGCTCAGTTCCATCCTCACCTTGCCACTACAGACCCAAGGCATGGATTGCACAAGTGATCTGCCCAGAGCCTTGTGGAAAGCAAGAGGAGAAGCAGCACTCCAGCCCAGAGCCCTGCCATCCACTCTGATCTTCTTCCTGCACTGAGGCAAAGCCATAAACTCAGCACCATCAGCTGAAAAGCTCACTGGAGATGACAACTAAGCAATTCCCTCATTTTCGAGTCTCTGACACATAAACAAAATCGGAGAGAAAAGTAATAAAATCCTGAAATGGCCTCCAATAAAAGGTAATAAAATTCCAGGAAAACAGTTATATACCCAAACAGTTTGAAATAAATAATATACAGTATCTTAAGAGAGAGCTCAGCTGTTACTGTCACCCCTTTTATGATGGTGCTGTGTCTTAAATCAAAGCCCTCAGTGACACAAAATACTAAACTGAGGAAAGACAAGGATGCCAAATCAAGGGCAGCGGACAGATCTGAGTCAGCACCTTTTGTGTGCTAGCAATACTACTGTCCACTGGAGTAATATATTAGCAGCCCATTATGCATACTGATACGGCTGCTATAATTAAATAGAGAAAACTTGCACTAAGCACCATCGTTTTGATTTAAAGCACAAAATGCTGCAGAACTCCAAGCAAGCAGAGCCTATCCGTGAGGTAACTGTGCTAGCAAACTCTTCCTCTTCCCTGCCAGCACTGCCTGCTCCAGCACTGTGTTACTGCCTTCCTGGACAGCCAAAGGCATGGAGACCCAAAGCAGGGGGCACACAGCATTCTGGGACAAGAGGAGATGGAAGATCTCTGGTTCCTCACCTGGAGGGGACTGGAGACCTGTGCTGACTGCAGTAGTTGCTGCCTTTTCTTAAAGGCTGCCTTTCTTTCTGGTATTACAACTTGTGAAACAGCTTCTGATTTCAGTAACTATAGCTCTTATAAAGCACTAGGAAACCCCTCTGGAGTCTGCTGACAGCCACTGGCTGAGGGCTAAGTAATGCCTCCCATCTGCCATCGAGGACAGCTACAAAGCACTTGTAGGCGGTGAGAAATAAGAGGTTATTTGAAACGAATCTGAGAATCCAGGTAAGCTGTAGCAGAGACAACCCTATTTCTTTTCATCTCCTTCTATGCAAGGCCTTAGTTCCTAGAAGTTCTCCTGGCACTTTCCCCACCCTTTCCTTTCTCTTACAAAGAATAAAGAGCCAGAGACTTGCTGAAGCACCAGAAAATCTGAAGACAAAGCTCCCACGTGATCAGCCTGGTCTGAGACAATTAATGGCCCACAAACTACAGCTAAGGAGCCACCAGCTCAGGGGATAATTCAATACTGCATCAAAAAGATGGAAATGCTTTTGAGTAGCAGCAGGCCAGGCAAGGGTATTCCACGTGGAAGAAAAATGTAACTTGGACTGTCTGCAGAATCATAGAATGGTTTGGGTTGGAAGAAGCCTCAAAGCTCATCAAACCCCAAACCCTGCGGTGGGCAGGGCTACCAGCCTCTGGATCAAGCTGCCCAGAGCCCCATCCAATAGCCTCGGGCACCTCCTGCTGAGCAAAACAGACATAGTCCAGTTCCACAGTCGCTTTTCAAGTCAATGCAAACTGAGGAGCCGGCAGTGCCGCCCAGAGCAGTGTGTGCCCCATGCCGTGGATAGGCCCTGGGCAGCCCGAACTGCTGGGGGGCAGCCAACCCACGGCAGGAACCAGCTGGGGGAGCTTTGGGGTCCCTGCAGGCTGGGAATGCTCCACAAGTGACCCAAGCACGTGGCAGAAACAAACCGGCTCAGCCTCTCGGCCCTTCCCCCTTTTCCTCCCATCCCCTCCTCCCCGTAGGCGCCAGGCCTCTCCCTCGGCCCAGTCGCAAGGCCTCGCGCCTCACCTGCTTGTAGCGAGCGTACAGGTACAGCAGCTGTTCCTTGCTGGCGCTGGGCAGCAGGGCGGGCAGCCGTTCGGCCGCCTGCTCGAACAAGGTGGACAGCTGCCGATCGGACGGATCCGGCCCCGCCGAGTCCGAGCTCCCCTCGCCGCCGCTCCCGGCCGCCAGCGGGGGCGACGCCATGGCGCCGGTCCGCGCGCACAGCCATCCCCCTGCGCGCCTCGGTACGGTTCCGCGTCGCCCGGCGGGAAACGCGCGCTGCGCCCGAGAGTTCCGGGGTACGCGCGGTCCTACTCTCATCGGTAGGGAATGGCCGCTGGGAGGCAGTGGCGCGCCAGCTGTGGGCCCAGGCTGCGCAGCCTCCTAGGGGTTGCTCCCTCCCGTCCTATCGCTGTTACCTGGGAGCAGAGGCTGACCCATCTCAGCACAGCCTCCTTTTAGGAGCTGTAGAGCAGCAAGGTCTCCCCTGAGCTCCTCCACACTGCCCCATGCCATCCCCTCAGCCGCTCCCCCTCACACCGTGCCCCACACCCCGCACGCCTCCGTGCCCTTCTTCAAACACACTCCAGAAGCTCGGTATCTGGTAGTTGATGTCAGTGTCTTCGTACTGTGCAACCCAAATGGGGATCTGAAGGAGAGCAAGCACATCCCTCATTTAGTTGAGGTTTTTTTTTCCAAGATATCAACAGAAGATCAAGAGACCTCACAGCAAGAGCCAGCAGGCCTGGAGCCAGCCCCAAGCCCCTCTGCTGTGTGCTGACCCCAGCCACGAGGGGGTGGATAAGAGCTCAGCAGCTGCTGCTCAGGGTTTTCCCTATGAAAGGCTTTTTTCTTGCACTTTTCCTCTGAAGGCTCCTCCCCAGCAATTCCCCAGCATAATTTATATATATATTTTAAAGAAAAACGTGCTATTTATAAATGATTCTATACACTCCCAAGAAAGCAAGTGCCAGACTGTGCTGGCGGGAAGCCTACTGCAGACTTCTTGCTGCTCCAGTTAAGGAAGCAGATAATGCCCATTCTCATGCCCTCTCCCAGCACCCAGCTGCAATAACAGCGAGGTGTTCCAAGCACACTGCTGGGCACTATGTCAGGAGACTCTGTGGGGCAAATGGTTTGAGTGCACGGACATAATGCTTGCAGTCCTGCAGCCCTTTTGTCCTGCACATTGCAGTTGGGGCGGACTGACACGTCATGGGCTGGGCTGGGCTCACCGAATGTAATGTGCTAAGGACACGGCTGGGGTCAGGAAACACACCGGGAGGGAGGAACAAGACACCAGGACGTGAGGTTTTCAGTAAAATGCAGGTTATTAGAGAAGCAAGGCAGGTCATTTCTGGGCTCCTAACGACCTCATTGCTCTGCCGAGCCCAGCAGCGATAATGCAGCACCGTGCGGCGATGCTCACCACGCCCGAAGAGCTGCGGGACACACGCAGCCGCCCCCCATTGGGGCCACGCCCCTATCTTTAAGCCACGCCCGCCTGAGACCACGCCCTGTCTTTAGGCCACGCCCCCGTTCCCGAGGCCACGCCCCTCGGCGGCGGTGGGCGGTGGCGAATGTTGCCGTGGCGACGCGGCGCTGCCGGCGGCCGGTTGGCTGGCGGGCGGCTGACGGCGGGAGGCGGCGGCGGGCCGGGGAAGATGGCGGCGGCCGAAGAGGCGGCGGCGGCGGCGGCTGCGGGGCGGCGCTGAGGAGGCCCCGAGGCGGGCCGAGGATCGGCGGGGCCGGGCGGGCGGGGGCCCATGTGCGGCGGCGGAGGCCCCCCCCCCGCCCCGCAGTACCGGCGGCGGCCCGTTAGCAGGCAGGCGCCGCTAGGAGCGGCTCGGCGGCAGGATGAAGTTCGCCGAGCACCTCGCGGCGCACATCACCCCCGAATGGCGGAAGCAATACATCCAGTACGAGGTGAGCCCGGCGACCTTCCCGGGGCTGGCGGCGGAGCCGTGCCCGGCGCGGCGGAGCGGAGCGCAGCGCTGTCCCGCAGCTGCGGGCTGAGCCGCCGAGCCCGGGCTCCTCTCGGCGCTCGGAGGCAGGCTTCCGTCCCCGGGCCGCGGCTCTTGCGGTGCGCGCAGCTCGCATTGATCTCCTGACGTCTGAACCGCGGTACCGTTACTGTGTCCGTCTAGCTTTCTCCCCCTGGCTCCTGAATAAAGGCGGGTTGGAGTACAAACTGTCTCGGAGTCCTTTCTGAGCGGTACAAAATAAGCCCTCCCAGCCCTGCTTTTCGCTCCTAAGTTGTCAAACTCTTTGTTGCTCTGCCCTGCTGCCCGCGCGTATCGCAGCACTCGTTATTCGGGACCCGGCGGTGGTGTGGGTGCAGACAGAGGCGTGCAGCCCTCCTTTGTGCCGGCAAACACCGCCTCGTTGCTCAGCCGAGGGGAAGGCACAGCACCGCTTTCAGTACTCGCATGCGGTTTTTCTCGCACCGTGCGTGGCTGCGGTCGTGTCGTTGCCGTGTCTTCTCATTTTGACAGCTCAGATCTTCTTAATGAAGGCGGGAATGCTGCACCTAACCCACACACTCGCGTGGGTCTTGTGGGCGAGCTGGGAAAAGATGAGCCCCGTTGCCAGGGATTACCACGAACAAGACTGGGAGATGGGACAGGCACTGCCTCCAGCTCATTCTGTGTCACAGAGCTCCTGTGCAGCCCTCATTTCCCATCCTGATGCGTGTGGTTATTTCCTTGGCACAGCACCTGCTGACCCCGGGTTGCAATGTGGCTGAGCCCAGGGAAGCTGAGCCCCCGCCGGTGAGCAGCCCTGCCCTGCTGTAGTGGCAGCAGGATGAGGGTGTGATCTGGTGACGTCAGGGAGAAGAATGAGACGTTGTGTTTTGAGGACCTAAAAACGACATTTTGCTGTCGGGTGGTCTTTTGTCATTTACAGCCTGCAAAGTTATTGTCAGTAACGTGGCCTTCCCCTCCAGCAGTTACCTGTGCTGTGATCGTTGAGGGCGGGTGCGTGGCCTGGGGAAGAGCTTAGGCAGGCAAAAGCCTGTTGGCTTTCATTAAATGGGCAAAAAGATGTACTTCAATACCTATAGCTTAGATTATCTTTCAGCAAGAGCGCAGCAGTGGCCATTGCTGTCTGTGTGCTTATTAAGAGCAAGCAATGGGCATGTGAAAAGGCAGACCGATGATGTATGCTGTTCTGTTTCATTCAGCTTTTGGCAAAGATGTTGACCGTGTCTGAGTGAATGCAAGCACTGAGTCTTACAAACCCCTGATTGCCTCAGTCTGCCTCTAGAATGGGAAATCAGAAGGAAAAGATTGCACAAATGGTAGAACGGCTCGAGTTGGAAGGAATGGAACGGCACAAAGCGTGACGTTCCATGCTATGTTCAAACTGCTGGCAGGTCTGGGAGCCCAGCTTGCCATCACTCCTTGTGCTGGGAACTGCCCCTTTGCTTCCCATGGAGCAAAAATAAAATAGGAGAGCAAACAAAATCCTGTCTTTCCGTGTCAGCCAACAGCATTCTCTTTTTCAAGCAGACAAAACTGGACAAATTAAAGTGACTCACAGATGAATCTCAGAGGATGCTTTTTCCTACAAACATGCCTTTGTGGCTGCAGTGAAGTTGTTGGCATGTTTGTCCACTAATTGCAATGTGGATTTGCTGTTGTGTGCATCTCTGAAGCTCCTGCAGAAGGAGGGGAGCATGGCTCAGCCTGCTCTCATGTGCCAGTGTGATGGAGGCCTGGTTTTACACTTGGCAGATGGCAATTCTCTGCTGGTTTCTCTGTCCTGAATTTGTTTATCCGAGAGCAGAAAGCTCTTTATTGAACTCTTAAATTGGCACGCTGTCTTTTTTCTTTCATGTTTTCCCATCTATTTGACTTCCCTCCTCTCCAAAGGGGACCTTGGGTGCTGCCTGCTTCAGTCTTTGGACAGGGGCAGCATGTTGAGAAGTTCTAAAGCCTGTTTTCCCCCATGAAAAATGTACAGGTAGGTGCTGGTGATTGGTAGGATGAGAAAGGCATTCTGCATTGGTGACTTTTTCTTTTGACCACTTGATGCATGGCACAGGATCACGTGCTGCCAGCCGGTGAGTCAGGGGAGGAAGGGGACAGAGCAGCCATGGTCAGCCGGAATGTAGGAATGGGTTGTGTCACTGGGATGGGGATCATGCAGCAGTGGCTTAGCTGGGAAAACAATTCTGCAAGTGACCTTTGTTGAGACCTCTGGAACGAGAGCTTTGGGAGATGCCTGAGCTGCCTGTTTGCTGGCCGCCTGTGACACCTTGTGATAAACAGACGTGTCCTTTAGACCTTCTGTTTGCTTAGCAGTGCATTACAACAGCGCTGAGCTGCTCCTTGCTGAGCTTGTGGTTTTCCCTGTGAGGGCATCAGGATGGTGGTTGTTCTGGCTGTGCTGACCCAGGGCAGGAAGGGGCAGAGCGTGGAGTGTGGGATGTGGGGCTGTGGGATGTGTTGGGTGATGGGCAGCAGGCCTCGAGGACCCCAGTGACTTGTGTGCATTGGATATCTGTAGGTTCACAAGGCAGCAGATGAGCTCTAATTCTCACAGCAGGTGTGTGTGCAAAGCCTGCTTGCGTTCGTGCCCCTTTACTTCTAGTTCCCAAACTGGTTCAGGTTACTCCATCAGTCTCCAAATCCATCTCAGGTTGTTTGATGCTGTGTTACCCTTGAGATCCCTCCTTGGGAGAAGGCAATCACTGGTGTTTCCTAATCTGGTCCGTCACCCTGTCTTCAGCTTTTAGAATACATGTGTGTTCCTGTACTACTGTGTAACAGTGATAGATCCCCGAGGCTTCTTTATCTCTATTTGCCTTGACAAGCTCCTTTCTATGTCACGCCACAGGTTTTCTAACAAACCTCGAGCATCCTACCGACCTGGAAACCTTTTTCTGAAAGAATATGTTTTAAAATACAGTTGGAATAACAATAGCAGATTAGTAATATAACAAGCTTTAGATGAAGGGGTCAATAAATGAGAACATGTGTTTCTTTTGCTAGCAGAAATATGTGTAATAGCATTACCAACACGTCCCGTAGCTTTGTGTGTCAGTCTGGAGGGATAAAAGGACTTTAACTGCTTTTGTTTTCAAACAAGCATATCAAAACGTAATTTTTATTTGATTCTGAGTGCATTCTTTGTTCTGCCCCTCCAGGCTTTGAAAGAGATGCTGTATGCAGCCGTGGACCAGGCCCCTTCTATAGAAGGTAAGCACGTGGTCACTGAGAATTGT